CAATTCAATTCAATTCAATTCAATTCAATTTTACAGAGTCAGCATATCGCCCCCACAATCCGGGTCCTCATTTCACCCACCTCGGAAGGATGGAAGGCTGAGTCAACCTTGAGCCGGTGAGATTTGAACCGCCAAACTGCAGAACTGCAGTCAGCTGAAGTAGCCTGCAGTGCTGCATTTAACCACTGCGCCACCTCGGCTCTTTCCCCACAGGACTAAAGCTGAATGGGAATTGACAGTCGACGAATGTAAGTGGAGATTACATCTTGGGCCAATGACGTCAAGCCAGAAACCTCCTTGGGTTCTGATTGGCCAGCCCTGCTTTCTGTATACTTCATGCATGACCCTCCAAGCTATCCATCTGTGGAAAAGGGGTTCAGCTGACAGGGAGTTAAGACCACTGGACGTGCACCCAAGCTTAGTTAGAACGGAAGCATGCTTAATGTTTCACTAGGCCCCCAGCAACTGCGAAAAGCCACTGGAAACATTGCTGCCGGCTTTGAGGGGGTGCGGTTTGCAAGCAGCCAAGAGCCAGCCCGAGAATCAGAAGGGAAGGAGGAAGGAGCGAGTGGGTGTTCCCCCCCCTAATGCAGAAAAGCGTGGTAGATCATGCTTTCTCCGTGGGCAGAATGGCCTTCCATCCTCCACCTAAGGCAGCAGGCAAGCTTACAAAATGTTACCCCACTCTCTCCTTCGATCCTTGGCTGGGTGGGCATCTGCTACTTGAATCAGGGCTGCAAGGATCAAGACATCCTCTAGATGGCTGCAAAGAGTTCAGAAAGCTCTGTCTCTCTGCTGCCATCTGGTGGTCTATTGGATGTTTTCAGCCCGATTCGGCAAGTCCAAGGAAAATCCACCACTGGTGCCAAAGAATGCAGCATGGAGCTTAACAACGTTGCTCGGACTGCACCTGTTGTTCCAATTGTTCCTTTCCAATTTGCCCAGCTCATTTCCCCAATTGCTCTATAAATTGTCTTCCAGCCTGCTTTTCTATTGGGGAATTTGCTGTTATCTGCTAGTTACATTAATAGGCAATCACGAAGCACAGTATAACATTGATGCTGCTGTGAAACCCAGGTATTTTCTCTCCCCGTGTGTTAAGTGCCTCCCCAGATGCTCTACATTCATCACAACTTTTGACCAAAAGCAAACATCATATACAACTTTTTGTTAACTTTTAACACAAACAGATACAACTCAACACAAGGGTGTCTTTTAAAAAGGTTTCTAACAAGAGGTATTTTGGGGAAAGAGTTGCAGCAGCAGCAAACAGAAACCATAGATTAATAGTAATAATAATAATAATAATGATAGTTTGAGAAAATAATAATCCCTTCTTATAGTTTTATCGGCACGCCTCCCACCACTAGGAGGCACGGCCCAGGTTCACAGGAGAGGTTAGAAGGAGTCCAACCCTGTCTTTTAAGCTCCCAAACTGCCATTGATTTTACGGGAAGGAGGACCGCTAAATCCTTCCTTGTCTAAAAGAAAAAAAATAAAAATAAACACAAATCGGACAGCCTCAGAACCTTCTAAAAATGGCCTTTTCCTCCAGTTAAAAAACAACACAATTTCGTCTCCCCTCCCCTCTCCTCTTGTCCACATTCAACAAGGAAAAGTAATTAGTTCCAAGCCTTTACCCCAGGTTCATCATATGCATTTTGGTAATAAAAATAGTTTCAAAACCCCATTTTTGCACGTAGCAAATCTGTGTGAGTGTGTGAAGCAGCCACACATAGTTAAATTATATATATTAAAAATATTGCTTTGTATTTTAAACAGAGGTTAGGAAAACGTCAAATGATCCATTTTTTTCCATACTTTTTCCACAATGAAATAAGATTTACATCCAATTAAATTTTGCAAATCCCTGGAACACAACAATGCATTTTTTTTTCTCTTGTACAGTATGTAAACCTTTGCGGGCCACAAAAATTATTGCTGTTACCTACTTGGCAATTTTATTTAAATTTGCTAAAACAATCATAGCGAAAAGAGCAACTCAGAATTCATAGAACAAAAAAAAAATGTGTATTTCACACACTAGCTGGTTTTACACCAGTTACCTTCCTAAATAAGCCAGGTTCTCATAGAGGTGATGCCAACGTTGTGCCTTGCACAGCGCACCGACGTGGCACCTCAACGTGGCACCTACCGTCACATTTATTTCAAGGTTTTTCACACTCTGCTTTTTCCCTCCACACTAAACATGGCTATTCGAAGCTGACAAGAGCGGATACATAAATTAATAACAGCCCTTCCTTCCGCTGAACAGCAACAAGACTCAAATAAATCATAAACAAAGAAAGCAGTTCTTAAACAGGAAGAAAAGAAAAACAATGTTAGCAGAACATTAAAGTGCACCAAATTTTGATGGGACAAGGAGTTTATTTCCCTATTCCTTGCAACTCTGTCCGAATAGAGATTGGCTTTAGGATCACTGATAGGTAAAACGGACCTTTTACTAGTTCTAAGATTTTCAGAATAATTCTTGGTTCACGGTGTTACCTAACGGTAAACGGCCCTCACATAGGTAAAAGTAAAGGTTCCCCTTGCACATATGTGCCAGTCATTCCTGACTCTAGGGGGCGGTGCTCATCTCTTTCAAAGCCGAAGAGCCAGCGCTGTCTGAAGACATCTCCATGGTCATGTGGCCAGCATGACTCAACTCTGGAGGCGCACGGAACGCTGTTACCTTCCCACCAAAGGCGGTTCCTATTTTTCTACTTGCATTTTTTACGTGCTTTCGAATTGCTAGTTTGACAGAAGCTGGGACAAGTCACGGGAGCTCACTCCGTTAAACGGCACTAGGGATTCGAACCGCCGAACTGCCGTCTTTTCTGATTGAGAAGCTCATCGTCTTAGCCACTGAGCCACCACTTTGCCCTCACATATTACTATTATTATTATTATTATTATTATTATTATTATTATTATTATTATTATTATTCCTATTGCTAATATTTATATGTAGAAAATTAGCATGCCAGAGAGAGATTCCTTCAGAATCTTTCCTGAGAAGACAGAATGCCTATTTTTAATATGGACAGTTCTGAGTGCAAGAAACTGACATATAAAATAACATTTGGACAGTTCACCCCCTTATTCCCTACAGAAATATTACCCAGATAGCAAGGTTGGGTATATTAATGAGGATGAAATCTATTTAGAATTCGTTACATTAAAAAACGGGGATGTGAAAAGGGGGGGAAAAAACCCTCACACACCAATTGATTACATTTCATTCCCCCCACCCCAAGAACCGGCGATCAGGTTTGCAAATCTGAAGGATTCAGCAATCTTTATTTCTGTTATCACTGTCAATTCCCCATTTACAAAGCGAATCTCTTTAGAACAAGTGCAAAAAAATAAATAAATTCTATCCTTTGAGATATTTTCCCTGGCTCATTCGTGTTCTCCCTCTCTCTCCCTCCCTCCCTCTCTCTCTCTCTCTCTCTCTCTCTCTCTCTCTCTCTCTCTCTTCTCTCTCTTCTCTCTCTCTCTCACTCACTCACTCACACACACACACACACACACACACACAAACCTCTCAACCAAGCAAATCAGATTTGCTTTTTTTAGTCTCTAGGAAAGCAGAAAGCAGGTGCTAGCTAGCCAGCCGAATGTAAAAATGGCAAATCTACATGCTTTAAAATGCTCACCCACGAAAGGAATGCTTCACCCAAAGTTCATTGAAATCATAGCAATGTGAAAAGGCAGAGAAAGAATTAGGGGGTCGTGGCAAAGGAGCGGGGGGGGGCGCACGGAGGGGAAGAGATTCCAACATCTATGTGAAAACGATCAAAGAATAATAATAACAATAACAGCAATGATAACCCAACGTTCCAGATACACACGAGAAAAGGCAATCGATGTGCAAAACAACGTTTCAGTCCACGAGGCTTCATTGTTCAACTAAGGTTGGGAGTGCAGAGGGGGGGGATTTAAAGGTCACCCCGTGGAGAGGATTTCTTGGCCTGTGAGAAGGACCTCGGGTTTGAATTCGTGGCGAGGACAATACATTTTGGTGATCTACCGAGATACATTTTCCATTTTGGGGGGGAAACTCTTGGGAAGCCTGGCGGGATCATTCCCATGTGTTCTCTTTCTCCTTTAGCTACCTCTCTGGCACTAGTTGTTTTCTTCCCCCCTCTGGAGACACAATTTGTGAGACTTTGTCCCTCTGTGACCTTGGTCATCCGGGAAGGCAGGGCAGATGGCTTCCTTGGTCCTACCAAAGCACACCACTGATGGTCAACTGCTCTGTATTGCTTCTTGGGAGAAGAGGAGCTGGGTGAAAACTTTTGTGGTTTCAAGAACTTTGAAGAGTCTGCGTGAAGACACCACTGTCTTTAGGTCCCTGTTGCCACCTGCTCTAGAACCCCACAAGCACACACCAAGCACCTTGGGCATCAAGAGAAAATACCTTGTCTGTCCCTCGAGGCTCCGTAGTGTAGACCCACAACTTATTCTAAATTGGCGTTTCTCAATGTCGGACACTTTTAACATGGGCAGACTCCAACTCCCAGAATGCTTGAGCCAGCATCAAGTCCACCCATCTTAAAGAGTTGAGAACCCCTGCTCCAAATCAGGGCTCTCCAAAGTTTTGCAGCTTTAAGATGGATGGACTCCAATTCCCAGAATGCCTCACCCAGCATCAAGTCCACCCATCTTAAAAGGGCTCTCCAAAGTTTTGCAGCTTTAAGATGGGTGGACTCCAATTCCCAGAATGCCTCATCCAGCATTCTGGGAGTGGAAGTCCACCAGTCTTAAAAGTTGTGGAATTTGGAGACCATCCCTGATCTAAATTTCTCTCCCCCCTCCCACACACACATGAATGCTGTTTAAAGAGTAGCAAAAAAAGTCAAAAGTCCCCCTTGTGTGGACAAATCACACACGAAGCACGATTACCTGAATTAAAAACCTTTAGTTTAGCCCCTTCCAAAGCCTTCACGCTTTCTCAAACTTCCTTGTGATTTTGGCTACTTGAGCCCTTTTCTCCCCCCCACTCTCCCTTTTCTATTTTAAAAAGAAGAAGACATGTGCCTAGGTTTACTGTTTAAAATCGGTCAGCTTCTTATTGCACCGTGGAGGTTCCTGGTAGTTAGCTTATCGATTTGACAGTGCTCATGTTTTTTCTTTTTCTTTTTTTGTTCCATTTATTCATTTTATTAAAAAAAAAAAAAAAAGGAGACAAGAACTCCGAGCTATCAGTTTCTAGGACTTTGCACAAGCCTCCCCGATGGATTTCCTCCCTCTGACAAAAACACACACACTTTTGGGGGGGAGGTAGAGGGGGTGGGCAATCAATATTTTGTTAATGGATTCTGTCTGTCTGTCTGTCTCTCTTCCTCTATGGCCTCTAAGCTTTTCACCAAAGGTGTCTTCCAGTGTAACTCGGTGGCGCGGTTGGAATCTGGAAATAAGGATAATACATCCACGATTAAGCATTTTGGAGCGTTGAGAAATTCCTGCATTTATAACACTCGGCGACATGACATGGCTCTGCTTTGCCGTTCGCCTTGCGCAGGTAGTCCTCGACTTACGACCCGCCATTGAGCCCAACATTCCCGTTGGGCTAAAGCGAGACTGTGGGGGGGGAGTGAGCTTTGCCCCGTTTGACGACCTTTCTTTGCCGCAGACGTTGAGCGAATCGCTGCGGTTGTTGAGTTAGTAAGGTGGTTGTTAAGTGAATCTGGATTCTCTATTGACTTGGCTTGTCAGGAGGTCACAAAAGGGGAAATCGCGTGGACCCTCCCCCCACGGGACGCTGCAACCATCGTAAATTTGAGTCAGTTGCTGAGCCTCCAAATTTTGATCACTGAGATACTGCGATGGTCACGAGAAAAACAGTCATGATAGCAATAGCACTTAGACTTATATACAGCGCTTTTTACAGCCCTCTCTAAGCAGTTGACAGAGTCAGCCTCTTGCCCCCAACAATCTGGGTCCTCATTTTAACCACCTCGGAAGGATGGAAGGCTGAGTCAACCTGGATCCGGTCAGGATCGAACTATTGGCAGTCGGCCGAGTTAGCCTACAATACTGCATTCTAACCACTGTGCCTGGTGAGATTCGATCTGCCAAACTGCTGGCAGCCAGTGATCAGCAGAAGTAGCCTGCAGTACCGCACTCTAACCACTGTACCACTGTGGCTCATAAATCACTTTTTTCCAGTGCTGTTGTAACCTCAAACAGTCACTAAATGTATGGTTGTAAGTTGAGGACTACCTCTGCTTTTTCTTCTTCCTCCTCCATTAGTCATGGAACAGATTCTATTTTCACTAACTTGGTTCTACCTGCCTTGAATTGATCCGAGGCAATCAAATCCCGAGACCCTAATGAGACCCTTTCTGTGAGTGAGCAACACCTAATAGCCCACATTATTCTATTTTCACCTTCCCACCTGCCCAAAAAAAAAACACAAAACACCCCATTGGGGTTTGGCTAAAAAGTTGCAAAGGGGCTTGTGAGCTTCCAGAAAGCCAGCTGCTGCCGATAAAATCAGCCGGGAGATGAGGATCGTTCGGGATTTATTACCCTTCAAAACACTCCGAGTGGAGTCACGTGTCAAATCCCTCTGCTCCTGGCTGAACTGAATATAGCAATAGCCCTTAGACTTATATGCTGCTTTACAGTGCTTTCCAGCCTTCTCTAAGCTGTTTACAGAATCAGCCTATATTGCCCCCAACAATCTGAGTCCTCATTTTATCTTCCGAGTCCTCGGAAGGATGGAAGGCTGAGTCGACCTTGAGCCTGATGGGATTCGAACTGCCAAATTGCAAGCAGCCGGTAGCCAGCAGAAAGTAGCCTGCAGTACTGCACTCTAACCACTACGCCACTAAGGCTCTTCAAATATCCTTTCTGATACAGCTCTGGAGGAGACCAACTGTATGTTTTTCGACATCTGCTTCTCCCCCATCCTCACCACCCCCTCCCCAACAAGGGGGGGAACCAGAAAATTGCCCGATGGAGTCCATAGCTGACTTAAAGGAAAGCGAACCTAAGTTCTAATGGAGCAGAAGCCAAATGAGTGGCATTTTGAAGCAGGCCACAGGGGGGCAGCAGTAGCAGCAGAGCCATGGGGTGTGACAATTAAGCAGCTGGGAGGTGGGAGGGAGCATCATTGGTGGGCCAATAGAAGTGGAGAGGAGTGCGAAAAGGATCAAGCGATTGGGCAGCTTCTTGGTCAACGTTGACCCTAGGCAAGGGGATAATATGGATTCCTCCGTTGAAGGAATCTTTCGAAGCAACCAGCACCAGGGACTTGGGCTGCTGTGGGTAGGAAGTCTTTGAGAAGGGCCCAAATTTAAAGGAAGGACACCACCAATGGATGGTAGTTCGGCAAAAAGATAAAAAAATAAATTACGAGGCGGTGATTGGTTGGGAAAAGGAGCAATGGTCAATGCTAATGGACAAAGAAGTGGGTGAGCTTTCCTAGAGACGTCATCTCTGGTTTCTCAGACCAGAAGAACATTTAATGACCATGCCAATATTTCTTTCACCGACTCGCCTGGGAGGAAATGGACAGAATCAAATCATTCTTCCTTCTTTCCCCTCAAAAGAGAAGAGAGGGCGTAGTTGGTGTCAGCGCCCAGAGAACAATTTGAGCAAAGCAAAACTTGACTGGCTCAACAACATGGAATTTGGAATTCGGCCCTGCATGCATCCCTTGGGCGTTGAAGCTTCCCGCATCACCCCCCCGCCTCCCCCCCCATCATTCTCCCCTGCTCCCCAATAATCAGCAAGCATCCCAACCGAAGGACGTTCTGAGTTGAAAGCGGCGGTTGAGCGTTTTCCCCTAAGGGGTAGCTTCTTCTACGCATCCCGTTTTGATACTTACAGTCCCACCGTTCAAGACAACCGCCATCTCGGTGGGCTGGTAGACGTTGCTTCGGAAGGGAGCGCTTGCACGGCTTCCTAAGCTGCCGTTGCGAAATCCTGCCGTCCGTAACGCTGCGTGAAACCGAGGAAGAGGAGGGGGGAAAGAAGACAGAAAGAGGGAGAAGTGACTTCGGTGGGGGAAACAAAAATAGAGGCAGACGGAAGTTCTTCATTGACGGCTTTAAGGTGAGGTGGAGATCTACAGGTAAGATTTTTAACTCCAGGCAGGACCTGGGACAGCTCCAACTTACTGGAACTGTCCTAGGTCTTGCCTGGAGTTAAAACCTATCTGTAGTTTTCCACCTGTAGGAGAAGGAATGGCAGAGCCTGGGGGTGGAGTTAAACAGGGGATTAGCCTAGAATCCTTATGTGGCCACGAGTGAATTAAGTCCAATTCTCCTTTAATCCTGTTGATTCTTATCTAATTCCAAGCAGGTGCCTGGGTTGTTAAGAATATTCCAGTACATAGGCATGAGTCACTATAAATCAGATTAATTGAATCTTCACAGGTGGCCCATCTTTCATACCTGGCACCACCTCACCTCAAAGTGAAGCCATACACATATGCTACAAGCTGAAATATTTCTTAGACAGCAGAGAAATTTAAACCAAAATGGGGATATATATATATGTGTGTGTGTGTGTGTGTGTGTGTGTGTGTGTGTGTTGCATTTTTGCTGATAAATAAATGAAGGGAGACTAGTATAGATCTAT